TTATGACTTGTCCCCTGCTAGCAACAGTAAAACATTTAGCAGATTAAGATTTTGTGCCAAACCTGAAACCAGAGGAGATAAATGGGTATTGTACACAGAGAAAAACGCGTACTGCACACAGATAAACACGTACTCCACACAGAGATAAAAGTGTACTGCACACAGAGAAAAACGCGTACTGCATAGAGATAAATGCAATTTTCAGGTAATTTATGAGACAACTATTGCACAACTATTGCAAAGAAACACAAAAAAGTGTATTTTCATGTTGCATATCACCTGACAGAAACCAAATTCAAGGTTTAAAAAAGAAAAGATTTTATGCAAATCTCATTGACGTTGTGCAACGGGCCAAAAAACAAAATGGAGGGTTTTTATTTTATCGTAGAACTTGGCAAATCTGATTAAAATTTACCACTATCTCTACTATCCCATGACGCTGCACATACCTGCATTGGGGTCGGTCTCTCCCTTCTCAGAGTCGTAAGTACAGTGCAGCCGAGCGTACTCCTGGTACCGGTGGATTCCCCTCTGGAGGTTCTTCTCCCTGATGCCTCGGCTCAGGGTCAGTGGCATGACCGACCTCAGCATACCGATGTCGTAAATACGCCACCAGCCGTGCTGTTTGTCTGAGCAGGAGAACACGACATGGAAGTCAAACACTAATTATCGTATCTTTATCTATGACTTTTCTACATCCAGGTTTCCACTAACAATACATTATTTCTTGAAACTTTATATATCTATGTTTCTTGCTTTCTCTATACCAAAGTTCTAATGCTGTTGTTGTCACCAATGTGTGGCTTTTAACTTATTAAAGCTGATAATGTTGTTGTTGTTGTTAATGTATGACTTTTGCTGTACAACGATTGTAATGTTGCAGTTGTTACTCCTGTAGTAAAAACGCATGGCTTTTGCTACACAAAAATTCTAATGCTGTCGATGTTGCCAAAGTGTGGCTTGCTCTATATGACCTGGGCAAGCAGTTCAGGTAAGAAGTCCAGAAAGCTAAACCTTTTAGAAGATAGAAAAATAACTGTCTCAAACTTTTAACAATTGTATCAACATTATGTGTCTTTTCTTGAAATTTAGAATTTGAATTTCGAACAAAATATTTCTCAAGTGCATGTAACCGACACCACAGATTAAGAAACTGTAATAAATATTTTCTTAAAAATTTTGGGGCATAGCAGATCTGAACAGCAGGCCCGATGATGAAGGCTGATAATGTTATTTCATATGACGTGAAGTTTATGGCAAGTCAGCATAATCACTGCTACATTTCGTTGTGTTAACAGATATGGATAAGACAAACTGGAAAGAAGTAGAGGGAGCTAACCACATTGAAGTCCCCTATCTCTCGCTTCTGGGCAGTGCTGTTAGCACAGCAGATAAAATACTGACTATGGTAAAGATGACCCCGAGTTCGAATTCTTGAATGTGTGCAGTTAGGAAAGTTCTCAAAACCCTTACAGCCCCAATCACTTATATTTCCCTCACAGAATGTTGGCCATCTTAAACCAAATCATATATTATTACCTTAATTTATTCAATTGTCTGCGAAAAACATTTTACATGTTATCTTCTAAAACTTTAAACAAAACAAAAAAATTCAGTTTCTCTAAAAGCATACAATGCAAGCAGCTCAGTAAGATCTCAAACACAAACAAACTGGAAGATAATTCACTGTCTACAGCCTGGTACCCTTTCCCCCCTTGGTCAAGTGAAGAAATGTAAAACTCATCCAAGGACACGTCACTGAGGCCCTGGCGGGGTATAAACACACTTATGTTTTGGTTGCAAGTTCACCAGATTTGTCCTTACCTTTGGGTATGGGCTCAGCCTCACCCTGAGCAGCTCTCAGGACATCCCACGGGTCGGTCTGAAGGGACGGGTCCACTGGAGGGGGCGGGACTTTGAAGTCTCCTGAAGCGTCCACCCCCGAAGAAACTGACGGGGTGGGGGAGGGTGAGGAGGTTGGTTGTGTCAGCAGCTGGAGAGAAGCCAGGAGAGGGTCGTTGGCCAGGATTGAAGGGTTCGATTGCAGGATCGGGAGAAGGCTCTCCAGGCTGGGCGCTGTGCCTGTGCACAAGTACGTGCTCAGAGCTGATATAGACGACGATGTTGATGAGGAGGAGCCAGCGAGTGATGACACAGCAGCTGTACTTCCTATGGATGATGATAACTGCGACGAAGATGGTGACAGCGACTGGTATGTTGATGAAGACAAAGGCATGAGGGACGGCTCTCGTTTGATTGGCTGAGTCAGGGATTTTTCGTCACAAGGTACTTTTGGCAGTATGCTGAACCAAAGCTTGTGGTCTCCTGAGTCCTGGGCACCTTTCGCCAACTGGTCAGACAGAAATGGGGAGGATGCACCAAAAGACAGCGAACTCTGTACCATAGATAACGTTGGGAAATCTGTCTCTGTTGATGCAGATTTTGCTGGAGATGGTGATAAAGATGAGGCTGTCGATGGTTTCTGAGGTGTTGTGGGCGTTGAGTTGGAGGGGGTGGATGAAGACGAAGACTTCTTGTGTTCCGCAGAACGTAACACTTGTGATGCGGCTTGCTGAAGAAGTTCTGATGAAGAGTATGAGGACGTCTCCGATTTGAGAAGGTTGGTCATTGTGGGTGGTTTAAGAAGAGTTGTTGATGATGAGGGGTTTGTTGAGGATGACAGGAGGGTAGGAGTGGATTTTGGAGGGAGGGACTGTGAGCTGAGGATTGTAGACGCATTTGAGGACGCGACCGTGGTGATGGGAGGGTGGTGGTGGGCGGGAGGTGGGGGCACGATAGAGGCAAGACTGGACAAAGTCTCCGAGGCACTTGTTGGACCGTATGGTATATGGGGCAAGCCGGGGATGTACGGGGGCTGGGGGTGGTGGGTTGCCAAGTGGGAGGATGACGAGGGGCCGCTACCCATCAGATGTAAGGGGTGGTGGGCCGATGGTGGGGGTCGGTGGGCTTTGTGGGTAGAATGGGCTGCTGGTGGGGTTTGGTCTACTGTCTGGTTGGCCTGAGCTGAAGGGTGGAAGGGTGGTAGAGGTTGTGGATTGATCGGCTTGGAGTGCGCTGGGATGGGGGTTGAGCCCAGGAGTGGAGTAGGCAGGTCCAGCCCTGAGGCGCCATGTTTCTTTGCCCGGGACTTGGGAGTAAAGTCCAATGGTGCGTTGGGGGTGCTCGATGCTGTTGGTGTCGAGAGTATTGGAGACAGTTTAGCAGACGCCGAATATTGGCTTTTTGCTGATGACTGGCTCTTCCTTGGAGAGTCTGTCAAGGGAGGTAATTTTGGTATCGCCGAAAACAATAAGGTCGAAGACAAAATGGACGAAGCTAACGAGGCAGAGGACACAGGCTGTGAAGCAGATGATAAAAACGACGACGATGACGATAGTGGCAGTTCGTTTATGCTGCTTTCATCTTTCATCAAGGCATCCTCATCCTCATCTTTTCCCTCTATTTGATAAGCCTGCTGAATAGAATGGTTCAGCAAAGACACTAATGAGTCTCTGGGACTGTGACCTACTTTCGGCACTCGAAGAATATCTGAGGTCACTCCCCGAGAACTCCCAGCTTCCTTACTGCCAGAACATTCACTACCCTGGTTCAGTTTATTCCCAACCACACTCGACTTCCCGCTACCTTCAACATTTCCAACAACACCATCGGCAGAACACAACACTTTCAAATCTTTGTCTTTTAAATGCTCACCATTTTCCAACATCAGTTTCTTGTTACTCGTGTCACTAGAAGAATGAATGCTGGATGATTTTTCACAACCATTGACAGAGCTATTTGTCAGCTCCTTTTGACTAGAGATCTCTTCCGCACAATTCTCCAACTTTTTATTTCCCTGAGAAATCCTTTCTCCATTCACATCAATCTGCATTTTTTCACTAACCTCTACACTCAAAGGCCTAAAAGCACTGTCTCCAAACTTTCCTGGAACGCTTGCGACATCAGTTCCTGGCTTCTCGTCCACAGAGGAAAATTTCACATCTGTTATTTTGGTTGCACTGGACGAAGTGTCTGATTTTTTCAAGTGAGAAAGCTCCCTGGCTAACTGACCGTTGAGTAAGACAGAGGCCAGAAATGAAGAGGGAGCAGACGGTGAGGAGCCCGCTCCATTGAGAACAGCAGCATCATGACGAGAGCCATTACTGAACAAAGACGTTTGACTCTTACCACCACTGTTCTCAGCCGTTCCTGAAGCTGCAACAGAAGCTGTTGTTGCATTGCTAGAAGCACTTTTCTCTTTTTCTGAACAAGAACTATCAGCATTGTTAACTAAAGACAAAACCTCTGAAGTTTCACTAACTTCTGAAGCTACGTTGTCCTTTGAACTTACTGCTACCCCTGAGCTCGTGTTAACTTTTGAGCACTCTCTGACCTCTCCTTTGCCCTCAACTGAGTTGTTGCCAGAGGTTTTGTTACTTTCAGCAGAGGCAGAGTTCAGACCATCTCTGTTTTTCTTCTCACCTGCTGGTATGTCCTTCTCCTGACCATCAGACCCAAATGACTCATCAATAACCATGTCTCCATCATCATCCTCTTCATCGTCTGCACCTCCAGCATCACTGTTGGCATAGGATGAATCTCTGATGTCAGAATCAAGGACAGACGACTCAGCACAATCCATCGAGAGCTGACCAGTTGATGAACCTTCTGTCCATGTGCTATTTTTGGACACATCGGCATCACCCAAAGACGACACACTCATCAAGCTTGTAGCAAGCACTTCTTCTGGTTTTCCATTTGGAAGACCATCAGAACCCTTCACAACCCCATCACCGTTAGCTGTTTTCACATCAGATCCACCCTCATTCTTCTCTTTCACAACAAGCTCACCGTTCAGATTCGTCTCTCCTCCACTAGAAATAACTTTTTCGTTCTTAGTCTCTTTACCCTGACCCACACCTTGATCTGGCTCTGACGATGCACTCACTTTACTTTCCTTCTTCCTTTTCTCTCCAACACTCGTTTCTTCCTCCTTCAGTTCCATTCCTTTCCCACCACCATCAGTGCCATCTTGCATTTCTTCCTTTTTCTCCTCACCATCAAAATCTAATTCCGTTTTCACCTCATTTTCTTTCTTCACCACGTTCTCCCCATCCTTCTCTCCTCTCCCCTCACCTCCTTTCTCATCCTTTCCATCCTCTTCTGTAGCAGGTTCAACCTCCTGAATCTCTTCTTTTATTTCTTCTTTCACTTCTTCTTTCTTCTCCTTCACAGTATTCTCCTTAATGTAATCCTCCGGACAGCCAGACTCCATCCCCTCCACGTACACCCCGCCTGTCAACGGAAGGACCCAGTACATCCTCTTGTAGCGATCATGGCCGATATTGATGGCTCGCAGGCGGAGAGATGCTCGGAAAACTTTCTGTCGGTAGGCAGCATGTTGCTGAATTGGAAAAAGAGAAAATAAAAAATATAAATGCCAGCCTCTCATGATATATTTCAGTATTTGAGGAGGGAGGGGAAAAATGGGGGTGGCAATATGAGAGAAACAATTTTTCTCAAAGAAGATTTCTAAAAGCAGAAAAAATACACCTGAATAAAATATCATTTCAAAGTTTTGGAAGCCTTCAATCATATTATCACAACCTTCTTTAAATCTAAAACTTCAAAACAAATGTATTTATTTTATAGAAGCATAGTCGAAATCGTCCATAGTTGAGGAGAAAGATGGTCATCTTAGACAGGTGTATGTCTTGAAAAGTGTCATTATAATATAGAAAAAACGCAGGGGGGGGGAGGAGAATTGAGAAGTGGTTGTTTGGATAAATAATTTTCTTGGCCAGATGGCTATAAGGGCAGGTTCGACTGCACTTCTATAAGCATATTCTTCTGACAGGGGTTCTTCAACATTTTATTTTGCCACATTCTTCAGGCTTACGGAAACATGTTGGCAATTGCAAAACTAAAATCATTTTTAATGACAAATAAAATACACTGAAATCTGCTCAAACAGCCATCTGTCCAAGACAATAACCTGTACAAATGAACACTTCTTGTTTCCCCCTTCTATTTTTTTATATCGTAATGACACTTTCAAAAAAGACAACCATTCAGATATTTTCTCCTTGAACGCTTTAAACAATTTCGATGGTACTGAAATGGTAACTCAGAAACAGTTTTCCCAACAAATCATAACAGAGAGTAAAACATATTACTGTCAGTATAAAAAAATTCAAAAGATGAAAAAAAAAAGCTTTCAGTCAGGAGGACTGAGAAAGCTACTTTGTAAGGAAATAAGAACATAAAGCAAAGACATTTCAAAACTAAAGGGGGAAAAGAGATGATGTCCAAACTGTAGTCCTTTCCTTCATATCCTCCTTTACAACACAATGATGATATAAAAACATGAAACCTGTCTAAAAATAACCATTTAACGAACATTTCCACAATCTGGACTTCACATTTTAGTAAGTAGGAAAATGTAACACCATTAGTGTGTCTCATTTGTTTTTATACAATACATTGCCATTAACTATACAAAAACATTGTCTATTTACCTTCCTCAGTTTCTCAATCCTCTTATCCGATTCTTCTCTCGACATCGACTCATCCACAGGCTGGTGATTAAAAAACATTTTAAAAAACACTTCATTACTTCTACATCCAAAAATTATTTGGAAAAAAATGCTTAAGAACTAAAAAAAAAAAAGCATAGTGAAAATGTTTCACTGCTTTTTCGACATACTGCCATACAACTCTAAAAATGTTTACTACATTGTAAAGCAATGCTAAACAGGAATGTTCATTTCTCTTGCGACAGTGAGGAATACAGAAAAGGGACTGAAGATAGAAGCCAAAATGGTACCAGAACCATTATTTAAAACAGTTCTAAATATCCAACTTTCAAGGAGCTTGCGTATTTTGAAAAAAGGCCCAAGAAGTCGTACAAGGTATCACTCTAGGACTCTGGAAACGGGAGACATTTTCAACATGAACATGTAAAATAAATCAAATTTAGAAATGAGTAGTAGATCACAACGTGCTTGCATAACAGCAAAAACCACTTTTTCAAGACCCACCTATGTGCAACACCCACCTATGTGCAACACCCACCTATGTGCACTATGTGCAACACCCACCTATGTGCAACACCCACCTATGTGCAACACCCACCTATGTGCAACACCCACCTATGTGCAACACCCACCTATGTGCACTATGTGCAACACCCACCAGACAATCCTAAATCCATTCAATGTAATTGTACAAGTCCCCCCCCCCCCCCAACCCCCCATTGACACAATGTGGATCACTGAGAAGGTGGGCTGCTCCAACCCTGCCTGTCAGGACCGACCCAGACAGGGAGAGATACAATGTCCCTACAGAAAGACAGAAATGATAGAAATTCTCCCCACAAAACAATCAACCTTGTAACTCAGTGGCTGGCAGATGCTCTGATGTGGTTTTCTCCTCTTTTCCCATTAAACATCCATCTCTCCTCCTCCTTTTCTTTGTATGATACTCTCTAGTAACACCTTGTAGTGACTCTCCGAACACTCAATTAACTCACAACACAGCAGCTGACATGATTGTGACTTCGCACGGACTTGGGAAGTGCTCACACGAAAAACACCACCTGACCCGACTGTCCTACACGGCCAGTCGAGTAGAAAACTCCGGTGAGTAAAGACCTACCACAACCTCTAATTTTTGGCACCTATTTGTGTTGCAAGTACTGTGAAATAATTAAATAATAATAGATAATAATAATAGATAGCATTTGTATAGCGCAAATCCCCGCTCAACAGCAGGCTCTATGCGCTTTACACTATATTATTACCCCAGCAGACCATAGAACACTCCGAAACATTCTCAGCTTCCCGGGAAGCATACAGTGCAAGCAGCTGATTAAGCGCTCAAACACTAACATACTGACAAGATCTTTCGCTGTCTATAGCCGGGTACCCATTCCCACCTGGGTGAAGTGAGGAAAATTCGTGTAAAGTGCCTTTCCCAAGGACACAACGTCGGGTCCCTGACGGGATTCGAACCCACGACCTTACGGTTGCGAGTCCGAGAGCCTAACCACTAGGCCACCGACGCCACAATTATTTAAACTAAACCACAGGGAGCTCACCTCAAAAGGCATGTTAGGGTTGGTGGAGGTGCTTGCCACTACACTGGAGCTTCCCTCGCTCTCATTGCCACTTCCCTCCTCCTCCTCCTTGTCCTCCTCATCCTCTTTCTCTTCATCATCATCACTACCCATCTTGGACGAAGACATGGTATCCTCATCTATGTTGCTGATGTTGCTGTTATTTTGGGAGGTGTTAGTGTTGCGGCGGTCTGTGGACTTGTGAATCTTGTTGAATTTTCGGGCTTGGAAAACTCTCAACCTAAAGATAAAATTTTTTTAAAACATTCATATGTGTCACCATGCAGTGGAATCAGGCACTCGTCACTTTTTGGGCATATCGAGTTATTAATATGAACTTAAAACTGCTTTATTTGTCTTAAATTTTGTGGGGAAAAAAACATTTATCTTAAATAGAAAACGAAATATTTGCAATTGAAGGGGGCGGGGGTCGCCCGGTGTGAGAGGTAAAATTAGCAAGAAAATGACCACCAAAGTTTGTTGGTATCAAAGGCTTGTTGAGTGTCCCCAGAAACTGTAAATTTACACTTGTCATGCCTTTAGTCAACATTTGACTGTAAAATCCACAAATATGTTTTAAAAGAACATATAAGGTGTTGAGTAAAAAAAGACGATTTTTTAAATTGCCCAACACCCCAAAAAAATGCAAATTTCTTTAATTTCATTATTTTGACAGGGCTTAATTTCACCACAATGCCTCACATTTAGTTGAACCTGTCTAAGACGACTATCCATTGTCAGGAAAAACATGGTCACCTTAGAAGAGCGGTCCACTTGGACAGCGTCATTGTAACATAAAGAAAAAAAGCAAGGTGGAAGTGTCTTGGACAGGTAGTTGTTAGAGCATGTTGGAGTATATGTTTACACATCCTAGACTCACACACACACATACACACACATACACACACTAACATACACACACACACACACACACACATATATATAAACACACACATATATATACACACACATACACACACACGTATACACACACATACACACACACATACACACACACATATATATATTATCCAACACTGCGTGGTAGAGAACTTACTGTCGTAGCTGGCCCTCAACAATCCACTTGTCTCGTCTCAGGTTGTTGATGGCATCCATGTGTTTGTCGATTTCCCTGATGACAAAGTTGATATTGAAAAGAAGTTGGTTATTTAAAAAGTTATTATGATTTATGTTATTCTTCACAATTCAGGCAGTCCAGACATTATTTTAACTTTTCAATTTTGCTGTTTTTTCACAGACTAGTATCGCGGATGGTTGGCACGTGTTCTAATGTGATATCCTCTTTCTTTATTATCGAACATCTATTGCCCTTGCTTCTTCTCCTCTTTCTCTGGGGTTTGTTATTCCCTTGTAACTCTTCTAATCTTCAGCACTTATATGACCTAAAACTGCAATGCAAATACCATAAAACTCTTACTAAAAAAAAAAAAAAACTAATGTCATACAAAATGAGTTTCAATCCAATTTTGGGAAGACAAAAATAGTTTAGTATCTCAGTCTTTCTACTAGGACTCACCCTATACAGCCCAGTCTACTACGGGACGTACAGCCCATATAGCAAGCCTCAGAAATTACCTACTTTGTACAGATATTGGCACGATGATAAACAACAAATTAGCACTTACCAATGGCACTCTCCAACCATGCAAAATTACAAGGTAAAAAGAAATACTACCATCATATTAAAATAAAAGTATAATTTCAAATGACAGTCAACTAGCAATCTCAGCATTTCTGGTCTGCAAATTTGTCCCTACTGTGTATAGACCTAAAACACACAAAGAATCTACATGGGCCTTAACTCTTAGTAGACCCAAAGCCAGTTCAGCCCGTGCTCGATATAGCTCAGTGGTTTACAGTTACAAAGAAAAATTCTATAAAATCCAAGCAAACAAATCCATCTATCTAAGATCAAACTGTAGGTTTATTGAATGGATACTTCATTTCTACTTAGTTTGGTGCTTATTTCACACAAATTGGTTATATACCTCCAGGATGTAGGCAACTTTGAGATGTTGAAAAATTGGATGTATGTACGTAGTATAGGGTTTTACGGCGCTCGCAACAGCTAAGGTCATATGAGCGCGACAAAACTTACTGTGCACAAAGGTGGAATAGGCTTCCGAATATCAAGAGTAATTAGCATTTGTATCAAGCATATTCCTGCTCAACAGCAAGCTGTAAGTGTTTTACAATCTACATTCTTACCCCAGCAGACCTGATAAGATTCGGAAAGAATCTCAACTTCCTTGGAAGCATACAGAACAAGCTGCCAGTTTACAGGCGCTCAAACACTAACATACTGACAGGTACTTACTCTGCCACCACTTTACTGGTGAGAAGTTCGTTACACAGGAAGGCCAAGAGCGCGGCTTTCTTTGTGGAGTTCAGGGCTTCCATGGGCTTGTCTCGGAGCCACTCAGACATCTACATGGATGAAACAACAACAATTTCTCTCAGTTAGAGATCAAAACATTACTTGTATATCTATCTTGTTGAGAGGGGAAGAAGGAGGACGAGGAGGAGGAGGAGGAGGAGGAGCAGGAGG